AAGCTGTCGGTGGGTAATGACTCGCTGTCCAACTTCCTGATTGGCCGGCTTACCAACCAATCAGGAAGCTAGGCAGTAAGTCATTATACGCTGCCCAGCTTCCTGATTAGCCGGGGGAGCCGGCTCCATGCTCCCTCGCTGCAAAGTGTAATGACTCGCTGCCCGGCTTCCTGATACCGGAAGCTCGGGTATCAGAGCATTTGGGTGAGTACGAGTACTCGCCCAAATACTAGTATCGGTATTGGTGCATCCCTAGTTTTATCCTTAAATATTCTTTCTTCGGCGGTCGTGTAACTCTGAATTCATGTAAAAAAAAAAAACTTTCGGATTTCCCAGAATTGCTGCTTTCCTGCTGTAAAAGTTGCTGTGAGCTGCACTGATTCAAGTTGGCACAGATCACCAAAGGCAACTGGCAAGGCCTGGGCGAGGTCAGAGGCACCTTATTAAATAAAGGAGCCTATAGGCACTTGAGGGCCAGATGCCAAGCAGTCTTTTTTATGAAAGGTCATTGGACATATGCTCATATGAGAATGGTTAGGCTTTGGCCTATGGAAGGCTTTACTCAGCTGGAAATTAACAGTAATAAGCTGGAAAATCCATCCGGGGGCAAACACTTCATCCAACAAGAGTACCCCACCAGGGGACCTCAGGGGCAGCTGGCAGACATTCAACGGTCCCTTCATCCAACCATAAACAAACTGGTTGGGGAGCATTCTTTCAAAGCCTGGCCATATTCCGCAGATCTCCATAAGCTTTGTAGTCATCACTGGAGCTTGGGTTCACTTCCCACCAGGGACACTGTATGTTCTTCCCTTCTCTAGGCGATGCTATTCTGGAGATTAACCAAAATGCAGTGCCATAAAAGGACGATATAGGTTGAACTGGATGGACTTATGAATTTATTCAACCTTACCAATTACAATACTGTTCAATACAAGAGGGTTAGCAGGACCTTGCTCATGACTCATAAGAGCTTACAATCTATAAATGGAAGGGCAAGCGATACAAAAAGTGATAACTGTGAAGGTTGAGTTGATGGAGGACATCAAAGTTCGGTTGTTGGGTAGAGGTGGGATAGGCTTCCCTGAAGAGATGGGTTTTCAGGGGTCTCCTAAAGGCAGACAGAGTAGAAGATAGCCGTATAGATTGTTGAAGGGAGTTCCGGAGGATGGGAGAGGCTCTGGAGAACTCTGGGAAAAAACATGGGAGGAGGTGATAAGGGAGCTAGGTATCAGGATGTCTTGGAAGGAGCAAAATGGAGGGTTTGGGTGATATTTTGAGATGAGGTTGGTGATGTAGCTCAGGGTAGAAGTGTGGATGGCTTTGTATGTACTCATTTTTAGATGGGACTCTTAAATGGGGGCCCCTGAAAAACGCACATGAACATGTATTTTGCAGGCACTTCCAAAGTCTATGGAGCCAAAAATGCCCAATTCGGCCCCAAAAAAGCTCATTGACCTTCATAAGAAACAATGCAGTGGTGTGATGGGCCCATTGAGAATAATGGGATTCTTCATTGTGAGCACTGTCGTGCTTCTGGAATCGCTAAAATAAAAAACCCTTAGGTATGAACGGAGTCTAGGCCACATTCACACTTGAGCTGAGCGTCTTTGGTGGTTCTCTGAGCAGAATGTGTATGCGTGTCTCAGGTTTAATCTTTATTAATTATCTTCAGCCAATGGAAAGCAACTTAGTGGGCAAGAAAATGGCGCTTCCGTTGCAATCTATCATTGCCAAAGCATGCGACTCTGCCCCAAAAAGAAGCTTGTGTACTTTTTCAACCCACCAGCTCAATACGCTCTGCTGTGGGCAGGCACCACTGAATATAATGGAAGTCCTAGTGTTGAGGGTCGACGCACTTCAGGAATCCCTCAGCAAGACGCCTCAGGGCTGAATGGGGTCTAAAGCACTGCAGAATATGGCAGTACAATATGAATTATGGAATGGTCTACACGCAGTGCAAACTCGGTTCTAAATGTCTCATTGTGAAAGGAGACTGTGGAGAAAGAAAGGGCACCTACGTACATATTCCCTTTAGATCATCGTAAAAGCCACCGAAATTGTCACATTAGCAGCCCATAAATCATCTCTAATGAGTCCAACGTCACAATTTGTGCCAGGCGATGGCACCAGCTCCTAGCCGACAAGAGGTTGATGCTGTTGTATCAGGGACAGGTCCTCTTAGGGAAATAAGTCTGCATATTGCACATTCTGGCACATGTCACTGATACAAAGCGCTCCACCCTCTCCCCGATGAATAATTAGCACACCCTTACCACACAGATACGTCTGGGTGCACACCTAATCTGCGGAGGGATCCCTTTCAAAGCTGCTACGCTGACACACAGGCGAGACAACACACAGCGTAGGTCGGTTTCACCAAATATAATGAAATGAAAGTAGAAGAAATAGAAATGTACCAACTCCACATTCTTAGTGTTCACTCTTATGCGTTCCATAAAGGCGACCCATTCATAAGAATATGCTTCCTAATGCACTAGAAAAGTCACCTGCACTATGTTTGGTAACGTGAGTTGGCAAAGGTGCGTTGGGGTGCGTTTAAGAGCCCGTTCAAAACATCTAATGTACACTGAATGCGTTGGTGAGATTCTGAATGGCACCCCAACGCACCTGCTGACTAACATGCTGCATGCAACACATGTCCGTCGGCAGGCGTCTTGGGGTGCCATTCAGAATAAGTGAATATCACCCCATCACACCAACAAATGTAACATTAATATTACGCATGCGTTACTACAACAAGATGGTGAGAATGGGCCCTGAAATGTGTATAATGCGCAGTACCACAATGCAACGGTGTGAACCCAGCCTAAGTACATTCACCTTTTTTGGTGCGTTTTAATGCAAAAGGGTTCCAAAGAGGCTCCCACCGCACTCCTTACTGGTATGTCCCTTTTAAAGTTTAGGGTGCTGCAGTGATAGTGGACGGGGCCACTTCAGATCCAAGTAGTAAAATATATCGCCGGCACACAAAAGTAAAATCTTCAAAGAGTGGTCATTTTATTCATGTACCCACAGCTCGTCATCAAGCAACGTTTCGGGGGCCACTCAGGGTCCCTTCATCAGGCATGATTAATGCAAAAGGGAACTCATTCAAATAACTGCGCTGTCCTAACACGACCGACCTTAACATGCCATGTAACGCACATCATCAGGCTTTGGGTGAGCCCAGGCTTACTAAGGGAGCTGAAAAGTGAATTCACAGAGCTTAGTGAATAAGGTGAAGCTGTGTTCACCATGAATAGTGATGGGTTCGGGCGTGTTCGCAAGCAAGTTCGCAGACAGCCCAATGCCAGCTCTCCCCATGGCTCCTACAGACAGCCCAATGCCAACACTCCCCGTGCCTCCTACAGACAGCCCAATGCCAGCTCTCCCTGTGCCTCCTACAGACAACCCAATGCCAGCTCTCCCCATGGCTCCTACAGACAGCCCAATGCCAACACTCCCCGTGCCTCCTACAGACAGCCCAATGCCAGCTCTCCCCGTGCCTCCTACAGACAGCCCAATGCCAGCTCTCCCCATGGCTCCTACAGACAGCCCAATGCCAGCTCTCCCCCGTGCCTCCTACAGACAGCCCAATGCCAGCTCTCCCCATGGCTCCTACAGACAGCCCAATGCCAACACTCCCCGTGCCTCCTACAGACA